ATAGAGCACATTTTGCATTATTCTAACATTCAATCACAAAAGGAAACAAAACAAATATACGTCAAGAACAGCACTGCCTTATCTACAAAGGAGTGAGTGATTTGTTGACTATGGGACGTTCTTCATCCGGTGGAGGAAAAGGACGTTTGACTCCTCAGAAAGTCAAGAGCAATCCAAGTTCAACAGTTGTGAAACATCTATTTTCAACGAAAGATGAAAACGATGGAAGGGCAAGATCGCCATACGAAGATGCCAAAGAAAGAGTGATTGACTACATCCAAGCTTCTGGAATGAAATGCTCCGAAGACATGGTGAAATCGATTTGAGATGGAAAGTCGATCGACTTCAATGCGATCGCTCCAACATTGAATGCTCCAACTCAAACTGAAGCTGTTGCAAGAGAAACAGAGATGGCTCAAAACAAGATTCTCTATTCTGCAAAGCTTGACGCGAACATGCAAAGATCAGCCTACTTCAAAACAAACAAGAGAACTGTGAAGTCAAATATCATGCTTAAGTTTGTGACAAAAGCGATGGATATCAAGCTTTGAGGTGAAGCCGATTTCACGACTACTCTTGAAGATCCAATCGAATTCTTGAAACGTATTGAACGATTCATGAAGAAGAGTGCTGATGCTGAGTATGACTTCTTGGATTTCTGAGAAGCCAATCAAAAGTTCTTTGCTATAAAAATCAAAAATCAAAAATCAAAAACTAAAAGGTAGAAAATATTTTTCCACGCACAGTACCAAAGCAGAACTGTACCAGTCCTACGCGTTTTCTACGTAAAGGAAAACAGTTGTTGTTGCTGAAACAGGAAAGAAATTTACTTTATCATGAAGGCTAACATCACCAACCCGCCGGAGAAGGATCCGAATTTGATCACGACTGTAGCTGACCAAGGTCAGGGAGGTCTCGAGGCAAAAACCCGATCAAATTCGACCACTCAATCGTCGATTGCTCTGACCAAGGATAATCCTGCCATCACGACTCCCAAGCGCAGCAGCAAGCGATACCCTTCAGAAACCGCCGAGGATGGCGCAATGAAAGGAAGCTTGCTCTTCCCATCTGAAGTTGCCCAAGGTCAGGACGTCCCCACGGTCAACACTCGACCAAATCCGACCACTCCTTCGTCAATCGATTTAACCAAGGACAATCTGCCTGATCCCACGACTTCAAAGAGCCAACGCAAGCAACCCCCTCCTTCCAAAACTGCCAAGGATGGCGCAGTGCAAGGACAATCGCTCGTTGCCTACATCAACGAAACTCAAGGTGTCACAGTTTTGCAGGCTCTACAAGAAGGCTTGGAGACAGGAGGTGTTTGCTCTCACAACCGCCCAATGCGTTATCACTACTGACAAAAAGTCGCCTCGCTTTTGGGAATTTTCGCTCATGTTCGACCCGACATTAATTGTTCAACGCGCCGAGCCGTTGACTTGGATGTGGCTAGCGGCATCCAAATTCTTTGCTAATCCTTGGACAGGCCCTGCTATCATTCCTCACATTGTGGAGGAATCCGAGCGACTAAAACGAGAGCCAACAATAGCCAAAGCTCAGTCCAAGTTTAAGAAGCGACTTGAATCCACGCCGCCAGAGCACCCGACAGGTGCCAAGGCACACGATTCTCCCAAGAACCTCCATCCAAGCAATGAACCCATGAAATTTGTTGAAATCGTTTGGCATGCCTTGACAACGGCGTTTCCAACAAAACAAGGTTGGAACCAGAACGAACTTCTCAGCTATTTACACACAACAACAATCCTACTTTATGACGTCTGCGCTGCCCATCAGACGTGGCCACCAACCATGGGCTCGAATGACGCAAAATCACACGAGATGAACTTGAAATCGACAAGGACTGCACCTGAGCACGCTCAGGAAGGTCTGGAGGCAACAACCCGCTCGAATTCTACCACCCTATTGACAGTTGACCTTGTGAAGGACAACCCCTATGAACACAAATTCTCCATGTTGTACAGCATATTTGTCTTGTTTCTTTCTCTGGAAAAGATACAGCAGACCAAATTTCTGGTTCACCATTTCCAAATCCTCACCATCAGAGTGGGAGCGCCAATCTGCCCATTGACAGGCCTGGCTAGAGAGAATTGCATTCAATTCTTTCCTTGGAAAAGGTACCCACAAAATTCCTCTGTATCCCAGGAGAAATCCTTTCATCTTGTTTGTACTTCCCCACCAACAGTGGGAGCGCCGATTTGTCCCCTGACATGATCGACTAGAGCAACTTTTTTCTTGAAAAATGCCTCAACGTGGTTCAAACTGATCTGACTAAAAGCAGCATAGTTCCTGGCCTCTACAGCTGTATTACACCGGCAGTTGGATACTCTAGAAGTAGCATAAAAACCAATTAATGATTCAGTTATATATATACAAAAGTTCTTTGCTATGAAGCAGGGAACAACAGAAAACTTGATGCATTGCAAGGAACGATTCTTGAGACAGGCTGAAGTCCTGCAAGATCTATATGGCGTTGCCTGGTTCCGAAATTTTGCAGTCAAAACAAAAGCGTATGCTGCTATTGCTAGCACCGATACTGCTGCTAAAGACAAGTTCAAGGATGATATCTTTGAAGCCGTTCTTGCAACAGGATTCCTGTGCAACTGTGATCAAACAAGAACAGCTCCTCTGATGCTGGATCTTCAGACAAACTACTGCAGGGAAGTGGATTATTATCCAAAGACGGTCAGCAAAGCACAAGATATGTTGAAGATCCACATGGATGTGATCAAGAATCCGGGAGTGAACCTTTATATATATATAATTGAATCATTAATTGGTTTTTATGCTACTTCTAGAGTATCCAACTGCCGGTGTAATACGGCTGTAGAGGCCAGGAACTATGCTGCTTTTAGTCAGATCAGTTTGAACCACGTTGAGGCATTTTTCAAACAAAAAGTTGCTCTAGTCGATCATGTCAGGGGACAAATCGGCGCTCCCACTGTTGGTGGGGAAGTACAAACAAGATGCAAGGATTTCTCCTGGGATACAGAGGAATTTTGTGGGTACCTTTTCCAAGG